CCTTCGGCTTATTCAGGAGGTGGCTCCTGTGCTTTTCAGTTTTTGTGACTTTGAGTTTTCAGAATATTTAACTTTATTTACAAACATTTTCCCCATAAAAATACACTGAGGTCTCTAATTTCTTTTAAACGTTCTTCTCTTTTTTCTGTTTAAATGCTAATTTAGTGCAAATTTATAATTTTAGCTACCATTCTACTCATTTTAGCTAGCTTTTTACTTTTAGTTACCATTTAGCTCATTTTGGATGTTATTAGCTAGTCTTTCCCATGCCTTTTGCTACCCTTTGCTTGTAGCGTTTGTTACTTCTAGCTAGCCTTTTGCTACCTTTAGCTAGTAGCTAGCCCTTTGCTACTGTAGTGAGTCACGTGAGATACGTGTCACTTGTTGTAGTATGACAATATATCCCCGTTTATATGCATACTATATTCACGAGTTCTTCATTTTTCTGACTGTGTAATGCCGTGCATTGAATTTAAAGGAATGCGAACGAGAGACGTTATTATCTTTGACCCATCAAATGAATGGAATCATTTATTTTCAGAATCAAAGTTTAACATCAAACATTTACATTAATTTGGCAAAATATGAAAATAATAACAGACAGTTTCACAGAAAATGAACTTCAAATCACTCGGCGGTGATTTGAGGACTTTGCTTCAGATATTTCTAAAATATCTGTACTGATTTTGTGAGAGAGAAGAGTTTAAGATGAAAGGAGATTATCTTACAGAGAACTATGTGAGGGAATTTAATCTGTTTGACCAGAAGTTGCACGCTCCGTCAGATCCTCAGCCCGTCCACGGTACACTTTAGTCGAAGAAGAAGTCTTTACCTGGTTTGACGATAGATCAGCTCAGTAAGCATCCTTCAGACTGTTTCCAGCGCCTCCGTTAAGAACAGCTAAAATCCTCGGAGAGTCGTGCGTGGTTAGCTCAAAACAGAATTATAATCCCACACGTCTCCGGATTCTCGGCAACTCCAAAACTCTTCATAACTCTAGTTCTCTTCTGAACTCCTTCAGAACTTTTCCATTCTCCATGGAATCTTTTCCTGTTGAACTCTCACTCTTGGAACTCCATATCCCTCAAAATCTAACATGAACTGGGAAGTTGCCACATTTTATTTGGGTCGACTTCCTGTTCAATTTAGAGCTTTCTGATTCGTGGATGTACCAGAAAGAGGTGTGTTTTCGTGACGTAAGTTGTTATCAAAATCAAGGTCAGGGAATGAATCTGTTTTCACATACAGAAAAGATTATTGCAGAAACAGCAGACTTTTTGGAGCCTACTCTTGGTAATCTTCTGAAAAAGTTTAAACATGACATTTTTCTCGGTAAACATTTTAGTTGACCGAAAACCAACCTTTCACATACTTACGACTTGACTCATTTCAGACAGAAAATCAAGGAATGCTTATTCAGGTGATTTCTTCTCTGAATGAGGAATAAAAATCATTACTTACTGTTTATGTAAAATAAAAATGAGTAGTTCTTTTCAACCTGTAAGAATTGAGTGAAACTAACACAATTGATTATCAAAACATTTGTAAAACAGTAATGATTATAGAGGATTGTCTTTTCTGCTTGATTAATTCAAGAAAGAAAGTCATCAGATATTTCAGACTTATTCAGATCAATGAAAATAACAGTCTCTGTCCATCTGGTAGATTTGAGGTCTTCAGGGTCAGACCTGGTTCACTACACTACCATTATCAGTCTTGTGCTACTTTTAGCTTCCCTTTCGGTACTTTTACTTTTAGCTAAGTTTAGCTACATTTAACTTTTTTAGTTGCTTTAAGCTGTCATTTTGCTTGTTTAGCTGTTCTTTTTCTACTTTTATCAAACCCTGTTACTTTCAGCTTCCAGCTAACCTTTTGCTACATTTTGCTTGTAGCTAGTCATTTGTTACATTTAGCAAGACTTTGCTACTTTTACTTACCATTTAGCTAGTTTTAACTTTAGCTACTCTATTGTGTCTTTCACCTTTAACTCAGCTTCTGGCCCTTTTAGCTAACACTTTCCTTTTAGCTGCTTTAGTTAGCTTTTGCTTTCAACATCAACACTGTTTTTAATAGAAAACATAATTCAATGAGTTTTAAAATGTTTACAAAATATTGAAGTTTTAATTTAAATTTTTTTTTTTTTTTTATGAAAAGTGTAAACTTTTCAAGCCGAAGACAAAACGTTTAACGCTCCCTGACTCATTTGAGCCTCTGCAGCTGCTCAGCAGACAGAAACTCTAAGAAATTAAATCTTCAAATTCTTTGCTCTGAATCACATCTGTGTTGAGTTTTACATGAAACAGGTGACAAATCCAGATGTTCCTTAGTCTCTGACTCTTAAATGAGAAACAGACTGAAAATACTTGAATGAGGATTTAAATGAAACATTAAATGCACAGATAATTAGTGACAGCTGGGACAGAACATGTGTCCACTTCCTGCAGGGACAGGAGGGACAGTTTAGGACATCACAAATGAAAAGACTTCGGTAAAAAGCTGCTTTTTAATAAAAACATCTGTTTCTCTGATGAGCGAGGTCCAAACTGATGAGCTAAGGAGGTTTTAGGTTTTATTAAAAGTAAAATAAAGAACTTACCGTACTTCCTCTGTGGCTGCTGTTTATCCAGCTGAGCTTCAGCACCAGAATCACCAGGAGAAAGGTTCTGCACCAGGACCGGTTCATCTCCACCGAGGGCCCTGACGGACTGATGGTTTCCTCTGTGGAGAGGATCCAGGACCAGCTGGGTCCCTCAGACCACACACCCCATCCCCTCAGAACAAAGTCCTGATCCTCCAGCTGCACAGAGGAGTGAGGGCCGGACGGAACCAGGGAGGAGGGGTCTTTAAAACCGGACCTCCTGAAGGTCTGAAGCAGAAACTAAAGAGTCCAATCCGAGGAGACAACAAGAGTTCAGAACTTCAACAAAAAATTTCTGCCTTTAATTTATGGCAGTTAAAATAATTTCTGTCTTCAAGTATTTTAAAAACCTTACAGCCTCTGTTATGTTGTTGTTCTTGTGTTGTTGTTGTTCTTATTTACATTGTTTATGGTGGTGTTCTTGTTTATGTTATCGTTTACGTTTTCGTTGTTTACATTTTTTGTTGTTCTTATTTATGTTTATGATGGTGTTCTTGTTTGTTACGCTGTTGTTCTTGTTTACATTTGTTTTTGTTGTTCTGGTATGTTATGTTGCTGTTCTTGTTTACATTGTTTATGTTGTTATTCTTTCCCCTGCAGCTGAATTAAAAATGTTTTTATTTATGTTTATATGTACTTCAGCTGTTTGCTAAATCCCCTCCCTCTGGACTCAGTGTTTTAAATCCAGACCATCACATGTGAGCCCCCCCCCCCCCCCCCCCCCAAGTCTGAGTCTAGTTTTTATAAACAAACTACGTCTGCAGAGTTTGTGCTGTTTGTGGCTCAAAACATTTGATTCCTTCAGGTCGCTGCTACGACTTTTGGATTCTGTAACTTTGATGATTTCATATTTTTCTCTTTGAAATCTGCTTCAGCTGCTGGTTCTGATCTTCTTGTTACTTTTAGTTTTTAGTCACTGTTCTGAAACTTTTGTCTTTTAGCCAGGCTTTTGCTACTTGTAGTTGCTTTAAGTTAAATGTTTGTTACTTTTATCTACCCTTTAACTGCCTTTAGGTAGTATTTAGCTACTTTTAGCTTGTCTTTTACCATTTTAGGTTGTGTTGGCTACTTTTAAATTTTAGCTACTGCCATAGCTCCTTTTAGCTTCTAGCTAGACTTTTGCTACTTTCAGCTTTTAATGAGCTCTTTGTTACTTTTAATTTTTAACTAACCTTTTGCTAGTTTTAGCTACCCCATTGCTACATTTGGCTAGTTTGCTACTTTTAGGTTTTAGCTAGTGTTTTACTCATTTTAGCTGTCAGTAAAGCTTTAACCACATTCAGCAAGACTTTTGCTATACACTGTAATTAGCTTTTATATAGCCTTTTGCTACTTTTAGTTAGCCCTGTTACTTGTAGCTACTTTTGCTACTTTTAGGTTTTATCTAGCCATTTGTTAGCTTTGCTAACTGTAGTTAGCTTTTTGCTATTGCAGCTTGTATTTGCCAATTTTAGCTAGTGTTTAATTTTTTTAAATTCAAAACCAGTTTTTCTCAGCTTGACTGTATTTTTTTAGATTGTAATTTTTCTTATTAAACTATAATCTGCTGAAACATGAAGGGAAATATTTGGATTTTACAGATTTTGATGATAAAGCAGCTAAACAGTAGATTTTGGCTCGTTGACGTCATAAAACGCTGAAACATTTACAGGTTTATTTAACCGGAGCATCAAAGAATTCGATTAAATCTTAATTTATTTTTTGAATCATCTGCACAAACTGAATAAAAAAAAAGAAAATGAAATACAAAATCAGCAATCAAAAATTAAAAAGAACTTACAAGATGTATATTAAAATAAAGCAGAATAAACTAAAGTTTGTGTAACTGATAAAAAGTGTTTTAGGCTTGGAAAGAACATCCTTCAACTGTTAATTTGATTATTTCAACAGAAAAACTAAAAACGCAGCTTTAACGCTCTAATCAGAGAAACTAACATTAAATACTTTAAATCAGTTCTGAACAAACAAACAGATCAACAGATTCTGTTTTCTTCAGGAAATTATAAAATATTTACTTTCCATGAGTGCATTTCATGTCTGCAGCCACTGGATGGAGGTACAACCCCCACACCCTCACATTCGACTAAACCTGCTGGTTTCTGTTTCAGAGCAGAGATAATAATAATAATTATTATTAATGTTTCAAATAAATTACAATGGTCCTGGTGTAAAAACTCTGCAAGATGTTCAAACCTGCAGCCTAAAGAAATATGGATTTTATTAGAGTTTAAAACAGTGAAGAACTAGGAGTCATGATAAATTTAAAGTTTACAACTTATTTAAAGTTTCAGCACCTCTATATTCATTACAGGAATGATTTAAATTCAAATCTAAACTGGATTTTAACTTCCAGTCAAGCTGCCCCAAATGAAGCTTTAGCAGACAACAAAATATTAAAATATCTTTTAGGTGAGAAAATAAAACTCCCAAAACACAAAACTTCCCCATAAATAAGCTCCTGTTGTGACAGGAAGTGAAGTTCAGACAGAAGTTCTGATTTTGGACCTCCAGTTTAGGGCTCTTTCGAAGCCGTTCTGGCCCGTCTGGTAGTCCTTCATGGCCTGCTGGATCTCCTCCTGGGTGGTCATCACAAACGGACCTGAAGGGTGAACATTAAACACGTCATGTTAAAGATGGTTAAACATTTGTGTCTGCTAGCTTTAAGAATAAAATTTAAATTGTACCATGTTGGACCACCGGCTCGTTGATCGGTTCTCCTGCGATCAGAACGAAATGGGAAACTTCAGAACCCTGAGGAGCAAAAAATTATTCTGTTACCTTCATCCAAACGGACAGTTTTCAGTTTTATCCATCTCTTTTCATAAACCTGGATGGGTTGTGGAGGTAACAGGTCCAGCAGGGAAACCCGGACTTTCCCCTCTCTAGTCCCTCCTGGAGGACCAAGAGGTGTCCTCAGACCAGAGGAGCTTTAGGATCCCTCTAAAGAGTTCTGGGTCTGCACAGGGGTTCTCTCTCAGTGCTGAAAAACCTCCAGAAGGAGGTGTCTGAATCAGACAACTGAACCACATGAACAGACTCCTCTGGATAACCGAGCTCCTCAGCCTGTCTCTAAGGCTGAGCCTGGCAACCCTACAGAGGAAGCTCACTTCATCATCCAGGATCTGGTTTTTTCAGTTCTGATCCAAACCTCATGACCACAGGTGAGGGTTAGAACATAGACTGACCAGTAAATCCAGAGATTGCCTTTCAACTCAGATTTCTCTTCACCACGACCGACCAGAACAACGTCCTTACTTCTGACGAGGGATCAATCTGTTAGTGTTCGTTTGTCTGGGTCCTTCCATCACTCAGGAAAAATTACCCCCCAGACCTCGGAGTCCTCCCTAAAGGAATGAAAGAGGTCGCCAGAGACCAGCTCTGTCTGGACCTCCCTGCTCAAGATGCTGCCTCCCTGAGACCTGAGTCCAGGACTGAAGGACGGACAGCTGACCGACCAACTGACACAGACTGACTGACTGAAGGACTGACAGACACAGACTGACTGACACAGACTGACTGAATGACTGACACAGACTGACTGACTGAAGGACTGACTGACACAGACTGA